TGTGGGGGGGGGGAGGGGCACAGAGAGAGAGGGAGACGCAGAATCCGAAGCAGGCTCCAGGCTCCGAGCTGTCAGCACAGAGCCCGATGTGGGGCTCGAACCCACGAACCGTGAGATCATGACCTGAGCCGAAGTCGGACGCTTAACCGACTGAGCCCCCAGGTGCCCCTAGTTTATGTTTAGAACAAGCTGCGTCATCTGCTTTCCTGGCCCACAGCATAAACGCAAGCAGTCCAGGAGCATTTTGTGTAGGAGGAAGGGGTTTTCTGGGTTTCAGTACTCTTTAGGAAATACACAGAGTGGCGAAAGAATGCCCAGAGCCATGACCCGAGTAAGAAGAGTTTAAGAAGGCGAGAACGTGTTAGCAAGCTTTAGGAAGATGATGATTAACATCATTTTAAAATTAAACCTACAGGGGCGCCTGGGTGGCGCAGTCGGTTAAGCGTCCGACTTCAGCCAGGTCACGATCTCGCGGTCCGTGAGTTCGAGCCCCGCGTCAGGCTCTGGGCTGATGGCTCAGAGCCTGGAGCCTGTTTCCGATTCTGTGTCTCCCTCTCTCTCTGCCCCTCCCCTGTTCATGCTCTGTCTCTCTCTGTCCCAAAAATAAATAAACGTTGAAAAAAAAATTAAAAAAAAAATTAAATTAAATTAAACCTACAGAACAGTACCTTCTCAAATGACATCAGGTAAACAAGAGCAGTCTGTCAGTTTTCCTTCCTTTAGCCACGTCATAAGCTCTTGTGAAAGGGTTTTAGATCCTGTATTTGTGCGTGTGTGTATGTGTGTGTATCCACAACAGCTCCTAAGTGGACATCGATTACTCAGAGAAACCTGTTAACTGTCGAGAAGACAAGATTACATTGAAAAGGCCCACAGCTTGGCTTTAAAATGGCTCAGCACAGGGCCACCCCATAGGGACAGCTGGGTCACTCTGTGGCCTCCAGCCCCACCTTTGCTCACATTCATCCACCTGGAAATGGATTGGAATGAACATCCAGGGCAGCTCTGGAAGGAAAGAGGTCACAAGTGGCATTAGGCACTGAGGATGGGTGTGGGTGTGGCTGGGGGTGGGCAGTGAGGAGGGTCTGTCCCATGCACTTTGCTCTGGGGAGATCATGTAAGGCACAAGCCTTTTTTATTTTATTGTAAATTTTATTTATTTACTTATTTATTTATTCTTAAATTTACATCCAAGTTAGTTGGCATTTAGTGCAATAATGATTTCAGGAGTAGATTCCGATGATTCAACCGCTATGTATAACACCCAGTGCTTATCCCAACAAGGGTCTTCCTTACTGCCTCTTGTCCATTGAGCCCATCTCCCCATCCACACCCCCTCCAACAATCCTCAGCTTGTTCTCTGTATTTGAGTCTCTTATGGTTTGTCCCTATCCTTGTTTTTATATCAGTTTTGCTTCCCTTCCCTTCTGTTCATCTGTTTTGTATCTTAAATTCCACATATGAGTGAAGTCATATGATATTTGTCTTTCTCTGACTAGTTTCACTTAGCATAATACTCTCTAGTTCTGTCCATGTAGTTGCAAATGGCAAGATTTCAATCTTTTTGATTGCCGAGTAATATTCCATTTTATATATAAACCACATCTTCTTTATCCATTCATCCATCGATGGACATTTGGGCTCTTTCCATACTTTGGCTATCGTTGATAGTGCTGTTATAAACATGGGGGTGCATGTGTCCCTTCGAAACAGCACTCCTGTATCCCTTGGATCAATGCCTAGTAGTGCAATTGCTGGGTCATAGAGTAGCCTTTTTTATTTTTTAAAGTTTATTTATGTATTTTGAGAGAGAGAGACAGAGACAGAGAGCGCTTGGGCAGGGAAAGGTCAGAGACAGAGGGAGAGAAAATCCCAAGCAGGCTCTGCACTACCAGCACGGAGCCTGACATGGGGCTTGAACCCATAAACTCTGAGATCATGACCTGAGCTGAAGTCAAGAGCCGGACTCTCAACCGACTAAGTTACCCAGGTTGCGTGTTCTGCAGCCTCTCAGGAGACACACGTGCCTCCCCCTGTAACCCCGGGGGTGATGCTCCTTAAGTGTCCCTTGCCCATGTAGTGGAATCATCCGGGAGTGGCCATTAGAATGCAGATTCCAAGGCCACACCCTGGACCTACTGAATCAAAATCAGTTGAGTCGTGGGTGGGGAAACTTTGGAATCGCCCCGAGGCTTCCTTTTGGGAAGAAAGCCCTTATGCGGGAGGGGCCCCAAGGCAGAATCTTCCTAACAAGCCCCACCATCCCAACTGATTCAGTTGCAGGCAAAACATTGGGGAGGGAGAGAGGGCCGGCTGCTGGCTCACCCCTGAGAAAGAAGTGGAAGCAAGGAGTTCTATGAGGTGGGTAAGGATTTAGCTCATCCCATCAGGGGCTTAGGGCCTGGTGGCCCAGGTCTGTCCATCTATCTAATGTTAGTTTTTATTAGCATTCCAGTGTAGACTTTTTTTTTTTTTTTGGGAGAGGGAGATTGGGGGAAGGGCAGAGAGAGAGGAAGAGAGAGAATCCCAAGCAGGCTCCACTCGGAGCCCAAGTTGGGGCTCGATCTCACGACCTTGACATCACGATCTGAGCCAAAATCAAGGTTGGATGCTTAACCAACTGAGCCACCCAAGTGTCTCTTGGTGTAGACTTTCCAACCAAAAATGGGCTTCAAAGCCATGCGTCCACCCACATGGTTGGTTGCCTGACAGTTTGACATTGATGGTTTTGTATTTCTTTTACTGAGGTGTCTTGGTTTCTTACCTATAAAGATTTAAAATTAATATATATGTATGTAATTTATACATAATTTATAATAATTATAAAATATATTTTATATAGCTTATATATAATAATTTATAATAATTATAATCTATAATAATTATAATCTATAATAATTTATAATAATTTACTTACAATAATTATAAAATATATTTTATATAGCTTATATATATAATTTATTTAGACATGTATTTAAAATGCACCATTATATATTTATTATATATTATTAAAGATATTATATACTTATCATATATTTATTTAAAATATATTATTTAAATTTATATTTATTATAAAAATATAAGTATCTATAGTAAATATATAAAATATATTTATATAGCAAATATATGCTTATATAAGTATATTTTTAATATATAATATAATATATAATATTTTAATAAATAAACATAAATTTATATAAATATATAAAATTTATTTATATTTATATATTTATTTATATTATTTATTCCACACTTCTATTGTTTTTTTTTTTTAATTTTTTTTTAAGTCTTTTTTTAAATTTTTTATTTTTCAACGTTTATTTATTTTTGGGACAGAGAGAGACAGAGCATGAACAGGGGAAAGGGCAGAGAGAGGGAGACACAGAATCGGAAACAGGCTCCAGGCTCTGAGCCATCAGCCCAGAGCCTGACGCGGGGCTCGAACTCACGGACCGCGAGATCGTGACCTGGCTGAAGTCGGACGCTTAACCGACTACGCCACCCAGGTGCCCCAACACACTTCTATTGTTTTTAATAAAAGTGACATGCTCATTGCAAAAAAATATGCTTATATAAGTATATATTTATCTAATAAACATAAATTTATGTAAATATATAAAATTTATTTATTTTCCACACTTCTATTGTTTTTAATAAAAGTGACAGGCTCAT